ACAATGCTCTCTGCCAAGGACCCTGTGACTGACAGCCTCATATCCCTGAGGGCAAGAGAGGGCAAGGGTTAGTGTGCTGTCTCTGCCTAGCCCAGCCCAGCCCAGCCCCATCCAGCCTACCTGAGCCTAGTAAAGGCATCTTGCAACAGGTGCTCTGGGAGCAGCTCTGGGAGGCCCCTTGAGCCTACCAGGACCCTCTCTAGCTGCTCCCTCCACCTGGGTCCCTGCAGCATCTGTGGGCAGAGGCTCCTTGTTGTGTCCAGTGTGGCCTGAGTGAAGTCCTGGGCAAAGGTCAGAGCATGGTGAGGGTGTGGCTAGGGCTCAGACTAATTCGCTTGAGCTCCGACCCCCACAGAATATTGACTCAGGGGATAGTACAGTCAAGCCTATGGGATAAGGGTCAAGCCTGGATATGGAAGTGGGATTGAGGCAATGGCACCATCTCACCTGAATGTCCTGGCGGCAGACCTCGCCCACCTGACCCAGGAGGCCCTCCAGCTTCTGCCGAAGTTGCCATTGATGACTTGGGGAGCTTCCTGCCTCATATAGAATGGGGAGAATCTGGAGACCAAAGAGAAAAAGGAGTTGCAAGGTGACACCTGACTAAAAGGGAAGGGTCCTTGTAGGAGGGGATGCTCACGCTGAGAGAGAAGTTGGCATTTTGGATGGCATCCTCGGCCTGGTGCACAGCGGCTTCACCCTGGGGCCCAGCTCCACAGCCCAGAAGCTCCACATGCTCCTGCACCGACTGACACAGTTCGTTCACTTCCTGAGGGGCATCAGAAATCAGTCCCAGCCTGGTCCCTTCCCAGTCCCCCAATCCCTGACTGCCTCCTTCCAAAGGTCTCCCAACAGGATATGAAGTCCTGAACCCAGTACCATTAGGCCAGCCACTTAGGAGCCCTATTTGTTCAAGAAGGGAGAGCTGTGTTTCCTTTGGTTCATCGTAGGGACTTTATATATACTTCTTATATGTACAGAATAGGAAGGAAAGAAGTTCTTAGTTATGTCTGTGTTTTAGAAGCTCAGTTTGCTCACCATCCACCTAGAGGACTGACTGGGAAGTGGGGGTGGGGGAGTGGGAGTTAGGCACCATGGAGCAAGAACCAGGGGGAGCAAGGGAGAATTGAGGTGAGGGTGAGGAACAAGACCAAGGAGGTCTGTGCAGTCTCCCATTGTAGCCATCAGAGACCTGGTCCAAATCTCTGTCCACAGCACTTGGTGAGTGTGGGCACCAGTGAGATAGGACTCCAGGGTAGAGAAAAGAGTCTGTGGGAGATGATGAGATCATTTGAACGTGTATAGAATGTGGAACCCCTACAGGATGTCTGGGTCAAGATGCCCAGGCTCTCAATCTCGGGAGAGAAGTGGAATTTGGGAATGGAGAAGTGGGAACATTTCTCACAAAGGCAAAGTAGAGGAGGAAGATGAAGGCAGAAAAAGGGTCACTGAGTTGGCCACAACAGAGGTCAGTGGAGAGGGGAGGGAAACCCTGTGAATGGGAAGTCACAGATGGGGCTATAAATGGGGATGCGGGGGGCGAGGGGGGGGGTCGAGGGATGATTTTGAAGTACTTCCTATCTTTAGTAGGAAAGCCTATTTAAATGCTTTTAAAAGGCCGCCAGGGATGTTATTTGGAGGAGCTATTTCAAGAGCAGTTGGCTCCTCTCCAGACTAAGGAGGGAGAATTGTGTGGGACAGCAGGATTTAGGCACCCTGGCTCCAGGAAAGTCAGACCTTCAGATTCATGGAGGCTCCCATGTGCCACAGCTCTCCCCATCTCCCTATCTTCTGTGTGTTCTTAAGGTTGAGGGAGGGGACACTTACCTGTTCGGAGGGGTTCGAGACCAGACCTAGTGGCTGCTGGCAGGAAGTGCAAGCAGAAGAAGCGTGATCCGTGCGGTTGTTTCTCAAGAGACAGGCTTGGATCTGGGAACAAACGATATTGATTAGCGGTGAGGGGCGGGGCCACGGCACAGCAGAGCAGCGGAGAAGGGGCCCCACCTGATTCACTGCACGTGCTGTCAGTTCTGGGCGGCTGCGCTGCGCCTGAGCCACGTCGGTCAGTGGCAGAGGCATGACCTTCAGGCTTCGGTTCTGCTCCAGAGCCTGCGCCACGTCCAGCAGGCCCCCAGCAGACGTGTGGTTCCGGTCCCAGGCTACAGACCTGGGCCATTCGGGGCTTCAGTCGGGGGCGGAGCTCAGCAAGACCCCATCCAAGCCGCGGGCCTCGTCCATTCACCCTCATTCAGCCCCGCTCCTTAGCCCAGTAAATCCCTCTATGTCACGTCCCACTCCCCATTGGTCCCACCCCTTTGACCCCGCCCACCGGAGCCTGGTGTTAACCCGAAGCGCCTTGGCCAACATCTTGGCACCCGTGTCTCCCATGGCGTTGCCACTGATATCCAGCGCTGTCAGGTTAGGATTGGTGGCCAGGGCCCGGAGCAGGACGCTGGCGCCCAGCTTCAGCCTTGACTCAGCCACAGACAGAGACTGCAGGGGCTGGGGTTAAGAGAAAGGAATTTGTAGTTGAAGTCAGGGGTCCACAAGGAGGGGAGATCACAGGGTCTGAGGGAGCAGGAGTCAGAGAGGTTACAGGGGTCCATTAACAGGATCCTGCATGGTCCCGCAAACTCACACAGTCGTCATCCTGCATAAGTTGGACAATCCGGTGCAGAACGTCGTCCAGGGTCTCCCTGTGGGCAGGGGCCACAGTTGAGGGGGGGACCCAGGTGGTGGGGTGCTGTTTAGGAGGCCCAGGAGTGGGATTGGGGGCTCACTTGCACCGGACATTGAAGTTCCTTCCAAGCGCCACATGTCGCAGGGACCGACTCCTCTCGATGGCCAGCACCAGAGTCACCATGTCTGAGCCGAAGCCTGAGGGTGGTTGGGGTCACGCACAGGCAAGGCTGCGGTGAGGTGGGTAGTGTGGGAATTGGGTGGATGGTGGGAGGACTGGTTTTTGGGCGGCCTCACCATTATCTGACAGATCCAGGGAGCTCACTGCTCCAGCATCACACACTAAGTCCTGTATCACCTGGGCACCGGCTGAGCGCAGCTGAAGGTGAAAGGTAGAGTATGCTCAGGCCAACAGGCCACAGTTGGGGAGGATCAGGCAGCCAATAGCCCCGCGCTCCCACCTCACAGCCCCACTCCCAGTGTGTGGGCCCATTGCCTGCTCACATCAGGGGACCTGACTGACGCTCACCTCACAAGCGCTGAGGTCCAGGTGCAGGTCCGCCATGTGCGTGTTGAGCGCGAGACCTTCTAAAAGGGCCCTGGGAGGGGATGTCATAGGGAGTAGCGGGAGCTAGGAAAGGGGGCCCAAGGGCGCGAACCGAATACTAAGAAGGAAGGACCAGAATGCTGGGGGAGATTGTGGGTACGCTAGGAAAAGGGGTGAGGCGCTGGAGGCTTGGCCTGGTGGCTGCATAGGCAAGGGGCGTGGCTGTGGGCAGCGACACTGACCTGAGCGCGTCCGCGGGCAGCTTGCAGCCCGCCAGGCCCAGGTGCCTAAGCGTACCCGCGCGGCTGAGGAAGAGTTGCAAAGCGGCGGGCGCAGCCCGAGACTTCCTGGGGTGGAAGAGCGGGAGGAGCGTGGGGGGGGGAGTGGGCTTTCCGGAGTAGGGAGGCGGCTCCTGGAAGTCCGCCCCGCCCCGGCCCGCCCCCCTTACGTGCGGGAGAAGACGTTCCTCGAAGCGTCCAGGTGGGTGAGGTTGGCACAGCAGCCGCGGGATAGCGCCGCAAAGAGCTGCGGGAGGAGGGTGTGGGCTGCACTGGCCAAAGGACTGAGCCCTCCCCGCCCGCCTTGCCCTCCAGTCAACCCTCTGGCCTCAGGCCCCGCCACCAGCCCTACTGATCATCTCCTCAATGACCACCCCCTCACAGTGTCCAGGGCGGTGTCGGTGCCTGCGAGATTCAGGAATGTCAGAACGTTAGGACGGCTCAGGAAACTATAGAGGCCCTGGTGGGAGGTGGGGAAGGAGTCAGGGATCGCCTCAGCAAGAGCTTCCTGACACCCCACTGCCTACAGTGCCCCCAATCCCTGTTCCTAAAGACAGCCACTCACCCCATTGTCCTCTGAGGCCCCCAGAGCCCCTGGGTTCCCAGAAAGGTCCAGGTGGGTCAGGGCAGAGTCAAAGTCTGCATTGGAAGCCAGTGCCCGGCCCAGAGCCCTCATTCCTGGTGGTGGAAGATAGGGTGGCTCAGCAATCAGGGGGACACACCTTCTAGCTCCACCTACCCAACCTCATCCTTGGCTCTGCCTACCTCGAGGCGTCAACCCTGTCTGTGCTAGGTTGAGTCTCCTCAGGGCTCCAGGACGATGTTCTAGGTGTCTGCTAAGTGCAGCCATGCCTGGGAAATGGGGGCAACCGTGAGGGTCTCACCTCCTCTAGTGCCAGCCCTCAGGGTTTCCCCAGGCTCAGCCATACCTCGGTCATCCAGCAGGTTCCCTGCCAGGCTGAGCTCTCGCAACCCAGAGCTCGAGTGTCCTGCCAGCGCCTGGGCCAGTCTCCGCACAAAGTCTCTGGGGACCAGACCCCAGGCATGAGACTCTGATCTCCTCCCAGGCCACTAGCCTCCCATTCCCAAACCCCTGGACTCCCCTCCTCAAGCCCTCCCTGTCCCCCTTACCCCCTCAGGCCACAGGTCTCCAGCACCAGCTCCTCCAGGTGGGACGACTGACTCATCATGTGCAGAATCTGTTCCAAGACCTCAAGGCTCTGAGAACCAGAGTGGGGACTCAGTGGGCTGCACCCTGGTCCGCATACCCTTGGCACCTCCCAGCCCCTACACTCTCACCAGCTTCATGTCCACACAGGAGAGGCACCGGAACCACAGGTTGTAGGACAGAGCAGCAACACTCAAGGCCAGGTCCCTGGGTGGGAGAAGGGGCAGGGGCAGAGCTCAGAGCCCTCTAGCCAGATCCCAGGCCCAGCATCCCCCTCCATGCAGAGGCTGAGGCCCAGGAATGTGGGTCATGGAATCTTCCTCCCTTTCCAGTCCTGGCAGGCCACACACCGACTGCCCAGATGGCTGAAGTCTCCTAGGCTGAAATGGCGGCAGCTCTGACGATGGTAAATGGTGTCCACATCCTAGACAGGAAGAAAATGTCTCCAACTGGCTTGGGGCCACAAGGAACAGGGAGGGACTTAATGCACACAGGGATCAGATATCTCCAGATCCCCCATAGGGGACCCTATCCTCACCCACTGAATCTCCTCTTGGAAAGGGAAGCCATTGTAGTCACACAGAGCCTCGTATGTCTCCAGGAAGCCACCTGGGGAGGTGCCAGGGGGTATGACAAGGTGGGGTGGGGAGAGGAGAGAGACAAAAGGTCAGAGATGGAGGAAGATCAGACCCAAGCTGGGTGGTAGCTGTGCCTTGAGTGGTTCTGTTCAGTTTGGGAGGCCTCCAAATCCAGGGGTCTGGGGCTGCAGGAAGGGGTAGGCTGGAAGCCCCATGTGGCCCCACCTTGACCCTTACCACAGGGCCTACTGGGTGAAGTGGCCTCTGAGGGGCTGCTTCTCTCCAGACGAGCCAGCATGGAGGGGGGCGTGGGTCTCCGGAATAGCTTCCTAGGGAGGAGGATAAAGAGGGGACAAGGGGCTTCTAGCCCCTGGGATGTGAGGCAGCCCACTGTGTCTCAAGAACACCCCCCACCCCCCTTTGCCCTCCTTCCCTGCCAGCCCCTTGCAGTTGCTGGGCCTCACCCAAGGGTCGAGCGAGGGAAGACCTTCTTGATGGCTGCAGCGATGTGCTGGGCCAGCTGTTCCAGGGCAGCCACACCAGGAAGCTCCAGGACCAGCTCAGGCAAGGACTCCAGCTCAAAGGTGACCTGAGGAGGGCAGGCGGCTGGGCTGGGCAGGCCTCCATATGTGGGGGCAGGTGGAGGGGAAGGTGAAGGCCAGGCTGCAGGCCCTGGTGGGGTACTAAGGTTCTCACCTGAGGGGGTGTCTCCTGCAGCGCCATGGCCTGGACCTCCAGGTAGCTGAATGTACAGTCCACCTGTGGAGTGCCTAGATCAGCCTGAACCAAGGCCCAAGCCCCACCCTTCTGGGAGCCCAGTCCTTTGCAACCTGGAGCTCAGAGCTAGACCCGCCTGTACTCCAGTCCTGTCTGCTGCCGGGAGCCCAGTACTGTTGGAAGGGCAGAGCCCACAAGGACAAGACAGACAGCGCTGCAGATGCAGCCCTCATCAAGGAAGCTGCTGGAGAGCAAGGGTGGGTAGTGGTGGTGTTCAGACCCTGGGACTCACCCTCAGGGGGAGGCAGGTATGGAGCAGGTAGGCTCTCCATCGCAGCAATGCCTAAAAGGAGACAGTGTCTTACAACCTGGGCAGGGAAAGAGGCTCTTTCCCCTTGAGCCCCAGTGGCCCTCCCAGGCTCTGCCCCTTGCCATACCAGGACATGACTTTGCGCAGCACCCTCCCGCTCTGGTAGCCAGGTTTTCAGCAACAGCTCTGCCTCCTTGGGCCACAGGAACCTGGTGATCTCGCCTGTAGAAGGGCGGCCTGCTGGATGACTTTGGTCCTCCCATGGAGGTCAATTCGTGCCCACTGTCTGTACCAGGCTAGGGGCCTGGACTCGTCTATGGGCCAGCAAGGGAGGAGTGGAGTGGATCCTGGGGAGCCAAGCCCTCTGGAGGAGCAGAGAGTAATGCTTCCCGGCATCCCCCAGGGCTCTGGGTCGGCCTCTGGCTTGGGGGCCCGCACTGCCTCCTCCCAGCCAAGTAGGCAAGGGCCAGCGCTTACCTCGTAGCTCACAGGATATGCCGTCGGGGGTCTGGGCCATGGGGCGGGGCCGGGCCAGGCGGCCGAAGTGACCCAAAGAGCTCGGACGAGAAACAGTAGCGGGCGGGCAGGCGGGCGCTCACAGGAAGCCTGGGGCCCCGGCCCGCACTGCAGCCACCTGCTCTGCTCCTCTGCAGCGGAAGGTACGCGCTGCTTCCTGCCAGGCCGCCCCCTACCCGGCTCCTCCCCGCCCCGGCCCGCGTTGTCGCCCGCGCACTGGGGTGTAGGAGGCTCAGAGTCCCAGCTGTCCGCTCGCCCCGTCGCGCAGGAGCTACTCCGTCAGGCCAGATACGGGGTGGGAGTGGTGTGGCCAGGAGGGTCGCGCGTGTCGCGTGCCTCTTGCAGTTCCTAGCCCCCTACTTCCACCCCACACCGCAGTCCCTGCCGCGAGCACCAGGGGGCACTACCCGCCCGGGGATTCCCTACAGGGCCCACCGTGTTTGTCCCCTCTGAAGCCCAGCTGGGGAGGTGGACACCGGGACGAGAAGGTTGAAGCGACGGATCTCTGCCCAACACCCAGTCCTAACGTGGAGGCCCTAATCTGTTGCTTCTAACCAGGAGTTTGTGACTCCTGTCGGGGTTCTAGTATCTGTTGAAGAGATGGAAAAAACACCAGATGGACCCAAAGGCCCCTCTCTGCAAAAGAGGTTTCTCAGCTTTCAATCAGGTTTAGCCTGGGGCAGGGGCCAGAAGGTGGGTATGGACCCTCACAGGGGGCAGCCTCCGGCTGAAGCCTGAACCCAAAAGGTCCTCCCTTGAATAGGCACTCTTCCCCGACCTGGAGAGAGTTTGGAGAGGGGGAAACCACTAGGAGAGAGGGAAGCTACTGTCTTCAGGAGGGGTCAGAAGGTCATGGGGTTGGGGGCCTGCCAGCCAGAAAGCATGCTGCCTTATAAAAGACCTAGGGGACCTAGATTCTAGAGGGTTTTCAGGAGGGGATTACATTTTTTTTCTTCCATCTTGTGCCAACTTTCAACTAGATGGACCACATTCAAGTGAATGCATTTTATCTTGAAACTGGGGTATTCTAATTGGGATTTCTTCTTTGTATTTCCACTAGCTTCTAAGTTAGTTGGTATATCTACTTTTATTTGAATGAGGAGCCCTGTGTATCAGTTCGTAGAATCTTTTTGTGCTTTTGCTGAGGTGAACAAATTTATCTAGCTCTGAATGTACTTGTATGTTTCCATCATCCTTTAAAGATTGTTCTCATAACTGCACAAAAATGACATGACCTAAACAGAACCAAGTTACATGAAATAAATTTAAACAAAAAAAAATTTTTTTTTCTTCCATTACAATCTAATTAAATTCCATTTATGAGATAAGGAATAGCCTCTGCCCTGCCCACAGCTCAGCCAGGCAGAGGTGAAATAACCATGAGAGTAGGTGAGAGGTACTGGACAGAGTCCCTTGGGTTCTTTCCCATCTCATCTTCCTAGCTAACTCTCCCCACCTTGGGGCTTAGAGACAGTGGGAGTACCCTCCAGTCCTGACTACCACTCCCCAGCCCCCAACAAAATCACATCTCCTTTTGCTGAGGTCCACGAAGGACCAGGATAAAGTGGGAAGTACAAACTGAGTATTAACAAGTTGGGGGCAGCCACCTCCCCTCAAGCAACAGGCCCAAGGCGTGATAGCCAAGGGCTGATGGGAGGACTCAAATGGAGAAGGAGCTATGGGTTCCCACCAACAGAGGCAAGAGGAGGTCCTGCTCTGCTTCCTCCCAATTTAAAAGGAGTTAAATCGGATTAAGATGTAAGACTCTTTCTAAGACCACATAGAACCCACAAAATGCTTTTAGGGTGAGAACTTAATAGTTCTCATATACTATGGCCAAGAATGCAGGTTCTGAAGGCAGACTGGCTGAATTCAAGTCCTGCCTCCATCTCTTACCAGCTGTTCGACACTGAATAAGTTACTTAACCTTTCTGAGCTTTCAGTTCTCATTTTGTAAGCTGGAGCTATTAACTCATAATGTTGCTATAAGGATTAAATATTAAGGGAAGTGCTCACAACAGTGCCTGGCACTCAGTGAACACTCTCATTTGCCAAATCTACCATGGGAACCCTAGGACTCCAAAACAGCCACAGAAAACTCACCTCACTGGGATTTTTCTGTTTAGAATGACAAGGATGAGAAATACAAGAGGGAATGACTGCCAAAGGGCTCTCAAGATGTTCCCCAGGCAGAGGGACTCTTGGGTCCACATTGTTGACATCAGTCCCCGGTCCAGTGAGTGCTGAGAGGGCAGACAGGGGGCTAGATAAGGAAATCAGGATCAGCATGGAGATCAGGACAGGGGTGCTGGGCTAGCCACCAACCCCGTAACTGCTGGTGGTCAGGGTGGCAGTTACAAAACAAACAGAACTGCTTTCAGAGACCAAGTGAACACATGGGATTCAGCTTCTACAAGTAGTGACAGTGACTCAGTTAAGAGGGGGGATTAAACATGTCTGTCTCTGTGTTCCAGACAGCATGACAGCGCTCAGGAAATGCTAAACGCTTATGAGGAATAAGCTCCACCTGCTCTAGCAGCACAGGCCGAGGACAGGCCAGGCTGCACCTCCCAAGGCTGCCACAGGCTCCCTTACATGGTTGTTTTTTTAAAAGCAAATGTCGTGGGTTTTGTTGTTTTTTTACCCCAGATATGAAAGTTTACAGATGAGTTAATATTTCATCCCAGTTACATGGTCCAGTGCATTTCAGAGTATATGAACATTATGGAGGCTGTCCTTTCTCAATGAAAACATATAAGAAAACTGTAAGCACGTCTCAAACAAGTGACATGATATGGAATTAACTTACACTTTTGGCTCTTCTTTTAAGTACAAATGTGATTATTCACCAAAGCAAAACTGTTATTAGACTATTTTACAGTATCTGTCAACAGGAAGTTCCTCTTTTACATGGAGCTAGTGTATTCTGAAGCTATTTCCCAGGAGCTAGGTTAGTATACAGAAAGAACTTTGGTTTTTTGGTTTTGTTTTTTTGGAAGGTAAACTTTCCACTATGCACATACTACGCCATCATCTTATCATCTTTCATTGGATTAAGCTTAGCTGGGAAGTAGCTGCATGTTTTTAGTGAGATCACTAATGGAAACAGACCTCTTAGTGGTACTTGTGTTTAAATCACATCTAATGTTAAATTTTGAATTACATTCAGAGCTCCTGTATCAAAGCTACACATATCCAACATGCCTCTATCATCTGGGTCTGCAATGTTAAAACCATTTGACGTTATTCCACAAACAATTTATCTGGGATATCCATTTTCTCTCGGTATGGCCTCAGCAACAGCCGGATGGACACTCCCCGCGATGGTTTTAAAAGAGAAGATCCTGGGGGCCGGTCGAGTGGCTCAGTTGGTTAAGAATTGGCTTAAGAGCACGAGCTCTCAGCAACAGGGCCACTGGTTTGATTCCCACATGGGCCAGTGACGCTGCCCCCGAGCTGAACTGTTGCTGAGCTGCCAACAGGTGGCAGGATGGCTCAGCTGGTGTAACAAGGCTGCCTGTTCAATGGTGGGCTATACCTGCAACTAAGACTGAACTCAGCACCTTGAGCTGAGCTGACGCCTGGTGGCTCAGTGAATAGAGCATGCACTCTTAACAAGGCTGCTGGTTCGACTCCCGCATGGGATGGTGGCTACGCCCACCCGCAACTAAGACAGAACACAGCACCTTGAACTTAGAGGCCACGGGAAGCCAGATGGCGACTGACGCCCTCCACAACGGAAGATTAAAGAACTTGGCTGTTCCCCTCTCCCAATTCTCCAATAAAAATCTTAAAAAAAAAATGTTGAAAAATAAATTAAAAATAAATAAAAGATCCTGATCAAAAGAAAGAGAGGGTTCGGTGCTTGCTAAGCTGGGCAGCAGTGGATGGGCAACATGAGTTAGGTGTGGAAAGGGGGTTGACTATTTCTTTACTCCAGTACCCACTGCATTAACAGTGGGGAAGGTTTAACACTGGGGAAGAGTGCTGCAGACAGGCCAGGGAACTTCCCCAGAAGTTCTCAGGTGTGGAGTTATAGCGAGAATTGGTTTCTGCTGAAGGTTTTATTTCTTTATTTTTATTTTTATTTTTATTTTTTTAATTTTTATTTATTGTTATGAAGGTTTTATTTCTAATGGAGTCACACAGGATATATCATGAACTATGCAATGGGGGAATCCCTTTTCAGCTGTAACTCCCATGAGGCTGTCACTTTTCTAGCTGTCTCCCTATTCAAAACAAATCCACTTTTAAACTTACAATTTGAGTGTATACAATGAGAAATGTAAAGCTCTGAAGATAACGTCTCACTGTTCTTCAGAGATGTTCTACTATAAATACGTAACAAATGATAAATTATGTGCCCAAACAATTCTAGGTGGGGTGGGTGTTGTGTGTGTGTTAGCCCATGGATAGGAGGAACACAATGCTGACAGCCTCAGG